TAGTACTAGTAGTAGTAGTAGTAGTAGTAGTAGTAGTAGTAGTAGTAGTAGTGATAGTAATGGTAGCAGTCGCAGCAGTTGTAGTAGTAGTAGTAGTAGTAGCAGTAGTAATAGTAGTAGTAGTAGTAGTAGAAGTAGTAGTAGTCGTAGTAGTCGTAGTAGTGGTAGTAGTAGTAGTAGTACTAGCAGTAGTAGTAGTAGTAGGAGTAGTAGTAGTAGTAGTACACATACTACTAGTGTTATTAATGGTGTGGGTCGTCGTATCATGAATGGTAGTAGTAGTAGTAGTAGTAGTAGTAGTAGTAGTAGTAGTAGTAGTGGAACCACTAGCAATAGTTCTAGTAGTAGTAGAAATAGTCGTAGAAGGAGAAGTAGTAGTAGTCGTCGTAGTCGTAGTAGTAGTCGTAGCCGTAGTCGCTGTCGTAGTCATCGTCGTAGTCGTAGTATTATTCTTCTTATGAACAACATCCTGAGTATGTATTTTAGTTTTTTCCTCCTCCTCATCATCCTCCTCCGCCTCCTCCTCTCCTCCTCCTCCTCCTCCTCCTCCTCCTCCGCCTCCTTCCGCCTCCTCCCTCCTCCTCTCTCCTCCTCCTCCTCCTACGCCTCCTCCCCCTCTCTCCTCCCTCCTCTCAGCCTCCTCCTTCTCCTCATCCTCCTCCTCCTCCTCCTCCCTCACTACTACTACTACTACTCACCACCACACCACCACACCACACCACCAACTACCACACTACCACCACACCACCACACAACTACTACCTACTACTACTACTACTACTACGACTACTACTGAATACTACTACTACTACTACTACTACTACTACTACTACTACTACTACTACTACGACCTACTACTACTACTACTACTACTACGACTACTACTACTACTACTACTACTACTACTACTACTACTACTACTACTACTACTATTCCGACTCCTACTCCTACTCCTACTCCTACTCCTACTCCTACTCCTACTCCGACCTCCTCCTCGACACGTTCGCCGCGCTGGTGCACAGCGGCAGAGCGCGCACGCGGCGGGCCGCGGCGCCTCTCTCGGTGCTGTAGGCGTCCGAGCCCGGCGGCGGCGGCGCCGCCCCCCCCCGCCCCGTCCCCATCAGGGTTGTGGACGCCATGGCAATGCACACTCGAACCGCTCTATTACTGAACAAACCATGTAAAATGTCTTCAGATTGTTTTAAACATGTTCGAAGCATGTGTAAAGCATGCTTGAGCACTTTGCGAACATGGTTTGAACTGTCTTAGACAGCTGGAGACTGTTTGGCAATATGCCCCCTCTCCACTGATCGTCTTCCGCAACATGAGGGCCCATCCGGGGGATCACCGCCCTGGGGAGGGAGGCGGCGGCGGCGGGGGAGACGCGGGCGGCGGCACGGGCAGGGGTGCATGCGGAGGAGCCAGCGGAGGCGCGGGAGGAGATCGGCGTGGGGCAGGAGCCCGCGGCGGCGGCGCAGGCGGCGGACGAGGCGGCACGGCGTGGCGGAGGTCGTGGGCGGGCGGCGCCGCTGCCTGGCAGAAACCCTGCCAGGCAGCCCTTGGCATTCTGCCACGCCTCAGCGTGCCGCAGGCACGGTGGCAGCGCCGTCCCTGGATCGAGGCGCGGCGGCCGCTGCCGTGCCCGGCGCAGCGCCTGTCGACGCCACGCACCAGGCTTCGACGGGCGTGGGCTCCCGGGACCCCCCGCCGCTTCTCACTGTACCGACCTGGCGGGCGTGCTGCAGCGGATCTTCGCGTGGGCTCCTGTGAGCGCAAAGCCCCGAAATGGCGAGCGAAAGGCGGAGTGAATTTCACGTGCTTCGTTCCTGGCCAGAAACAATCCGCGCGGAATCCCCCTCGAAATCCGGAACGAAATTCTCCAGGACACTCCGGGTCCATCCTATTGAAATCCGAACGGAGTCCACTCTGCGATGTTGGCGCCATGAAGCGTCGGTGCCGCATCGCAGACAGTCGGCGGCACACGGGCGGAGAGGCAAGCGCTGCCGGTTTTGCGGAGGGTGCACCTCTGGCTTGGCGGGGGGGTCCTGCTCGGCAGAGCGGGAGGGCAACAGGGACATCGCATGATGCCATAGCAGAGCTGCGTCGGGCCACGGAGGAACAATGACGGCCACCTTCGTCTTCGCAGCACGGTTTCAGCGATGGCGGCTGCAAGCACCAGTAACATGTCGAAAGTGTGAGGGCATGTGTAATTTCCGCTTGGCATGCTCATCGGGTCACTGGCGAGCAATTCCGTTGTTGTGTGACTTTCTGGTTTGGCATATTTCTCGGCGAGACTGTCTGTCTTCCCGCTCATTTTGAAAAAAGTGAACGCATTGGTATTCGAACCCCGCGGAGGAGCAGAATAAATGGCAGCTTATGTTAGAGCAGCGCTACGATGTTTGGTACGGTTTCCCCTTCATCTTGATGCTGCAGGAGCTCAGGGTGGAGGCTATGTGAAGATATTTCGGACATTGTCCAGGGATCCGATACTCTGGTACTCCTCCTCCTCCTCCTCCTCCTCCTCTTCCTCCTCCTCCGCCTCCTCCTACCCCTCCTCCTCCTCCTCCTCCTCCTCCTCCTCCTCCTCCTCGTACCTCCTCCTCCTCCTCCTCCTCCTCCTCCTCCTCCTCCTCCTCCTCCTCCCTCCTCGTCCTCCTTTTATTTGTATACCTCTTCTTTTTCTTTGTATTATTAACGTAGTAGTCGTAGTAGTCGTAGTAGTCGTAGTAGTCGTAGTAGTCGTAGTAGTCGTGGTAGTAGTAGTAGTAGTAGTAGCAGCAGCAGCAGTAGTAGTAGTAGTAGCAGTAGCAGCAGTAGCAGCAGTAGCAGAAAAAAAAAAAACAAAACAACCCAAAAAAAAAAAAAAACCCACACAAAAAAAAAAAAAAAAAAAAAATCCCAAAAAAAAAAAATAGCAGTAGTAGTAGCAGTCGCAGTAGCAGTAGCAGAGCCAGTAGTAGTAGCAGTAGCAGTAGTAGTAGTAGTAGTAGTAGTGCAGTAGTAGTAGTAGTAGTAGTAGTAGTAGTAGTCGTTCGCGTCGTCGTCGTCGTCGTCGTCGTCGTCGTCGTCG